GTTTTACAGGTGAGGGACTCACTTGAAGATGGAATGGAATCAAATCATGAATGATGCATACTCATTATTTGTCACTTGAGCTTCTCCTAGTAGTAGTGATAAACAATCTTTTGCTTTGTGAACATAATTTTTCACATTTTGCTACTTATCTAACTCATGTTTTTGTCAAAGAGCTTTTAACATAGCTACTTTGGTTACATTGGAACTTGATGGATCTTTAACTTTTGAATGCTTTTGTATAACTTTAGTTGCTTGGTTTGTAATGTAATGGATTTGATGTTGGGACCAACATCCATTTCACTTTTGTATGTAACTACAATTAAATTGGCCGGTAGGTGCACTCGTGGCTATAGGTGTGTAAATACATCCGGTTTGCATGTGTGCAAATACATAAACTGTTACATTACACAATTAATCAGGGCCAACGTATTTTCAAAACCGTTACCCTTGTGCATGTTTAAACCGTTACATTTGTACACAATCTGTTGTAACATTTATGACATTGTTGTGAGGACCATTACAATTGGTCATAAATTTCGTTACGAGCCGTTACATTAGAGCAAATGCAACGCGAGCGAATGTAACAACGAAAAACTATTACAATAAGTTGAATGTAACAGTTTTTTAGACCAAAGGTCACGAATTCTGCTGTTACAAAAGACCCAAAAATGTAGTAGTGAATTTTGAATAAAAAATTACCGCAGAGCCCTATACTAGAAAAAATTGCCCCGCTACCCTAGCGGAAAAAAATTCTTCCCGCTACACTAACGAAAAATTTTCACCCCCTACACTCATGAGAAACTTTCACCCCCTTGACCAGATATCCTGGATCCGTCCCTGAGTGTCTGGCCGTAAAGTATGAATACATAGGATATATTCTTGTGTATAATACAATGTACATGGCCGTGTATTTATACACATGTATGAGCTAATGTGATGAGGATGGTGATAGCTACAACTAAGAAGAAAAGCTAGAGTATGCAACAACCGTACAACCGTATAGCTAAAGTTATCTACATGATAATAATAACAATATTAATTATTATGCTTTAATAATGGCATCGTTCGGTCAGTGGGCCAGTGGCGGGATGGTGCTGGCTGGCGATCGACGCTTCAATCAGCCGAGTCATCAATCGTTCCTAGGTCGTCGTCATCCGTCCTTCAGTCTTTCGCTTCAACCCCTACTAAATTAGCATTTAATTTTGCGTTCTTGAATGGGACATCCATATTAATTAATTAATTAATTATTTAATGAATTAATTAACATGTTTACTTTCAGTGATCTTGGAAATGTTGGGCTCTCCGGTACACTAGTTTCAAATCTCCAGAACCTTCAATATTCGTAGTACTTGTGAGTTCAAATTATTGTATTTCTTAGCATCAAATGAAAACTAGAATATGTCTATATAGGTTTCTGATTAAATACAAATGATTTTTAACGTGAGAACTGCAAATCATTCCCTTTTTCTTTAATGTGGTGCGCTTTAAAGCTGGTCTCATACACTTTGAACTTTGTTCGAGTTATGCCAAATAAAAAATGCGGTGAAATTTTGTTAATTAAGTCAAAGTGTTAAAATATTTGTCTCACACTGCAAAGCTATAAAACAATAAAATAGTATATAGGCCTTTGGACTCCTCTTCCTATCAGGTTGACCGTTTTAGATGAAACATCGATTCTTAACATGGTATCAGATCCAAGTCTGGTTGTGGTTTGAGTGCTTGTTTAGCACCCATGATAAAGGGCAACTTGTTAAGGAGCTGTTTGCTCCATTTAAATATTAATGTAATAGTTGAGATTAATGTAAAAGGATTAATAGTACTACCCATACCAACATAGGTGCATCTCCTTTTAAGGGAGCTCATCTCCTAAGAACTCCAAGTTAAGCGTCCTTGCACGTGAGTAATCTTGGGATGGGTGATCCCTTGGAAAGTTTCTCTTGACTCGCATGAGTTAGGACAAAGTGCGCAGTAAAGTCTCATGGTGGTTTCTGTCTTTCTGAGGTCAGTTAGCATGGGAGGATTTTGGGGTTTGATTGATATTGGTTTTTGGGCGCAACGGGGCGTTGCATTCCTAAGTGGGGGTGATTATAATACTTGAGATTAATGTAAAAGGATTAATAATACTACTCATACCAACAAAGGTGTATCTCCTTTTAAGAGAGCTCATCTCTTAAGAACGATCCCCTGGAAAGTTTCAGAGTACTAGAGTACTGTGAAACTACCGTACTAGAGGTCCGTAGTAACTATAGTACTAGAGGTCTGTAGTAACTACCTCGGATTCTGCAGGGTTGGGGTGTTACAGTTGAAGTCTCACACTAGAAAATTGTGAAGTAATAAAATGATGTATCAAGATCTGGGTTACTCCTCTTATGAGGTTGACATTTTAGAATGGAACACTAGATCTTAACATGGTACCAAACCAAATCAATCCACAATCGTGGTGTGGGCTCCCTATGAAAAATATGATGATGATTATACAAAAATGAATTAGGAATAATTGTAATTAGATTTTGATGATGCTAGATTAATTAGGACTTTAGAGTACCCCTTTAGAAATTATGTATTAGAATTTTCCTTTGTAAAATTCTTAGAAGTATTCGACTTGACAGAAGACCTTCAAGAGTAGAAGGGCTTCAAGAGCAGAAGTGCCTCTTAAGGCATTATTGAAACAGAGGACCTTTGGTTCTCTGCTCCAGAACAGAAGTCCTCAGGATCTCTGTTAGTCTTGACTCTGACAGAAACCCTTCTGGGTCTCTGTTGGATACTCCCAACAGAAGTGCTCCAGGCCTCCTCTGTTCTACTCTCAGACAAAGACACCAGAAGGTCTGACACTTAGAAGAATTTCAAAGAACCGGGAAGTCAACTAAAAGATTCCTTCAACGGCTAGGAGTATGAAACGGAAAAGCTACAGTGCTTGCATTAAATGCTCATTTAATGCACCCCATGCTACGTAGAGTAATTGCAGATGATTGGCCGCAATGTCAGGAATACTTTATCCCAAAATAGTAACCCGCCAACTTTATCGGGTTCTACTAGTCAAGTCAACTGATCGCGCATTAAATGCAGTTGTCCTCCTACCCCTCCAACGGGAAGACAACCTCAGTATAAAAGATACACTACGAAGAACAACCGGAGAACTTTGCTATAACTTTGCCAAGATTACATTGCAACTTTTGCTAACCACAAGCAAGATATTCAAACTCTGAAAAGCAAAAAGCCTCCTTGAGATTCAAACTCATTATCCTCTACAAGAGAAGGCAGAAGTTAGAAAAATACTCTTTCCAACTCAAGCAAAGTTCCAAGTGTTCTTCAACTCTTCAAGCTCATCACATACAAATCTTTTGTAACGAAGCTAGTTGGAGGAACCCCAGTTTCAACAGAAACTCTTCTTGCTACAAGAAGGACGTCCAAATAACTGGAGTAGTGAAGTGGTGATACTTTAAGGAAACTCAGTAAAAGGACCAGTGTTAAAGGAAGCCAGGCAGTGCATCCCAGGACACAACTAGGCTTGAAGAAGACGTGGAGTGCTTGTTAAGTACTAGGACTAAGGCTTTGTAAACGGCAATTTTTACAGCTTAGTGGAACAGTGGATTAGAGGAACGAGTTGTTCCTTGAACCACTATAAAAATCCCTGGTGTCGTTTACTTATTGCTTTTAATACTTGCATTTAGTTAGAACTGTATAACTCCTTGGACTTGGTATCTGTGTTCAGCAGAATTTGTTCTACGAGTTAACAGAAGGCCTTCTGCCTATTGCTTCTCTGAGGCTAACAGAACTCCCTACCAGAACCTCATCCGCTGCCAGTCTGTTCTTCCAACAGAACAGGCTATTCTGTAAATCTGGTACTTAGTTTAAAAAGCTAAAAACCAATAGTCTATTCACCCCCCTCCCTCTAGACTGTATCCAGTATAACCGGGACCAACAAGTGGTATCAGAGCCTCCTTGTTCTAATAATCTCTTAGGTTATTTGTTGAACAAAGATCCACTTGTTTTTCTGTTTAACCTCATTTCTATCTGATATAATGGATCACTCCGATATTATAACACAGAGTTTTCTGAGAATGCGAAATAGTGCAACATAGAAACTTAAAATTAATAATGCATCACATAATCACATTGGAGGAAAAGTGAACAGCCAGCATTTTTTATGCGGAAAATGATTTTTATTTGATCTGCACATTATATATATATATATATATATATATATATGTTTTGGTTCAAAAAAGAACATGATCTTAGGAGAGAAATGAGAACGAATCTGGACCGTTAGATTTGCTTTAAGTGAAATTCAATGTGCATTAGATGAAACTGTAATGTGCATTAGGTGAAATTGAAATGTGCAACACAAAGCATATGATACAATGTCATTAAGTGACGTTGAATTGTGCATTAGGTGAAATTGAAATGTGCACTAGGTGAAACTGAAATGTGCAGAATAAAATGTACGATGTGATGTTATTTTTGTACATTTTATTCCACACATTTCAGTTTCACCAAATGCACAATTGAGTTTAAATTTTTATTCTGCACATTTCAGTATCATGTAATACACATTTCAGTTTCATCAAATGCACATTTCCATTCCACATAATACAATCCAACGGTCCAGATTCATTCTTATTTCTCTCCTGGGAGTCCGTTCTTACAAGAACCGCTCCCTATATATATATATATATATATATATATATATATATATATATATATATATATATATATATATATATATATATATAGAGAGAGAGAGAGAGAGAGAGAGTAGTCTTCCTGTCCAGCCGGCCTGATAGGAACCGCCGTCCGGAAGAGGGCTTTTCCGGCTTTTCCCGGTAGAAGGCAGCCAAATAAATTATTTAGGAACATTGCACAGTTAATATATAAACAACACCGTATTTTTCAAAAAATAGTTTGATTGTCTTCCTTATTGAATTTTTAGCTGAAATTTTGTATGGATAAACCAAACTTGACGAAGAACTTGTTCAAAAACTTTCAACAAAAAATACCCCCAGGAAAGGTCCTGAAATGCCCTCGTCCGGATGGCGGTTTCCCGGCTCGACAAGAAATATTGTCTTTTTTTTGGAAAAAGATACATTTTATTACGAAAAGAGGAAAAAGTACGAGGCGAAAGAAGGAAAAAAGAAGAAACAATAGGAATGCAACTAAATAAAGAGCCCAACCCTAGCCATACAAATACCCATCCAAGAGAACCCTAACTCTCTAACTATAGTAAAACTCCTCACTTCATTCGAGTTTGAGATCGTGTCCTCATACGATGTGAATATTGATTTTTCTTTCTGTAGCTATTCATTTGGATATTCATATTGTTCGTAGGCAAGCAGTTATCCCTCGTTATAAGCAAAGCCTTATTGCAAATATTTTGATTAGTGTTGAAATCCCATAAATCTTCCATCGTCGATATAGGAGTCCGCTTTTCATTCTCCGAAGTGTGACCTAAGAAAAAATCCCTCGAGGAGTCGGCCTCCTGATCTTCACCACCTGAATAGTCCGAGTGATCAAAAACCCAATCAATTTTGGGTGTTCCGACTCCAATTTCCCGCTTAGCACCTCTCTTGGCAGCATCCCTTTTTTCAGTATCCCGTTGGTCATCTGCAACCTCCTCTTTATGTGTGATTGATCACTGTTTAGTCCTTGGCTTTCAGTTAATTGTTTAAAGATACACTCATATTCTTTGGATAGAAATGTTGATAGACTAGCAACACTCGAGTTCATTGTATCCTGGAGAAATAGTTTCAACTCTGAAACAGAGGATTCTAATGCAGCACAAATGTGGGAAGAATAAAAAAAAGTAGTTGCAACCGGAAAGCCCAAAGTATTGATCATATTTCCAGAATATACTAAATCAGCTTGTACTAAGGCATCTGAGATAGTGAACTCCTTAGTGTCTACATAATTCCCGTCCATACGATCAATAACAAGATTAATTATCTCAAAATCTGAACAACCAACCCCCTTCAATTTTTGTTGTGAATCTGCATGTTGGGGAGATGATTCCCTCAAGCTGGTAATAGCATGTGAGAGACCGTCAATAAATCTAGTGAAACCAACTCCATTTTTGCCCTCGGTATAAACAAAGAAACCTCACCTGAAAAAATTCTAACGAACCCCCCAAAGTTAGGGAGAACTATAAAATAAGCCCTCGAACTTTCACAAAAAATGCAAATAAACCCTTTTAAAGGAGGCTATGTTCGGCCGTCGTCATTTAGGGCGATTTCCGGTGGAATTTTTCGATGAAATTTTTTTAGCATCTTCTTCATTAAGTCTAGTTTAGTCACACCAAATTTCAGCTAAACATTCAATCGGGAAGGCAGTCAAATGAATTTTTGAAGATAACTGCGCAGTTAGGCATCGCAGTATATTTCGGAAAATCATTCGACTGCCTTCTCGATTGAATTTTTAGATGAAATTTGGTATGGATAAACTAGACTTAATGAAGAAGATGCCCAAAAAATTTCATCAAAAATTCCACCGAAAACCTCCCCAAATGGTGACAGCCGGATAAAGTCTCCTGTAAAAGGGCTTATTTGCACTTTTTTACGAAAGTTCGAGGCTTATTTGATAGTTCTCCCCCCAAAGTTATTATAGAAATTGCTCTAAATAGGAGCAAAAACGTTTTGAAATTCCAAAATAGGAGTATCATATTTTTTATTACTTGAATAGGAGTAATCTGCCAAGTTTGGACAAAAATGCCATGTTTTAAGGCCTACTAATGCCAAACTTGGCAGAAATTTACTCCTATTTAAGGAATAAAAAATATGATACTCTTATTTTGGAATTTTAAAATTTTTTACTCCTATTTAGGGAATTCTTTCAAGTTATTATCATCTAAACTGACAGTGATGTTCTCCCTCCGTTTCTGAAACAAGTTCCACATTTCCTTTTCGGGCAGATTCAAAATTAAGTTCCACTTTCAAACATTTCATTATTTGGCAAATCATCTACATTAAAACAGTGTCAAAAAGTGTTCAAACAGTGCCAAACAGTGCACTCCACAGTAAAGTCAAATTTATTTTCTTAATATGTGTGAAGTAAAATGTGGAACTTGTTTAAGAAAGGGAGGGAGTATTTATTAAGAAACGATCTGGAAAGAGATTTTCCAGGCAGAACTTTAGGCAAAGATGCACAAAACCAGATAGCACCATTAAGATCAAATTCAATAACAGAAAAGAGACCATTTTTACTCTCTCTAATGCAAATCGATAAATCTGAAATATTGAAAGAAAAGAGTTTACTTTCAATGATAAGGGAACTCTGGTCAGTTATGTAGTGGCTGCCTGACTTGTTCTGATTCCAGACCTCGGAAAGTCCAAATGGCCTCACTGGTTGAGTAGGATAGCACTGCCAACTATCGTGACAGCCCAGACTCGCTGCACCCCCCATTTCAGATTGACACCTTGAGCGCCAGTGTTCTCGAACTGACTGAGAAACTCTATAGAATCTTCCCCTGCAAGTATCAGCTCCTTCTTGTATGGATTTAGGAATCCATCGCTGGTCAACTTTTCGCCAAAAGCCGTCGTCCTTCCGTAGATCAGTGCGGCGTGTTTCCCAGCCTCCATCAGCAAGTCTTCGTTCCCTGTGCAGTCTGTTTTTCACCGCCAATCTACTGCTCCCAGATGGGTTCACAAGCCTACCACCGAAAGCCCTGAGGAATCTCCGTCTGCGAGAGCACTGATGCGGCTTGTCTTCACCGGAGTAGGATCCCCTCCGTTTCCATATATGTGGATCGCGAGAGGCCTCGGTCGCCCGTGGGATGTCATCCGCCGTTGTAGACAGGGGCGGAATCTGAACTCTGAAGTTCGCATTTGGACTGCGGAAAAACTTGGCCTTCCTCTAAAAATAGTGAAGTAAACAGAAAGATGTGCGTAAAGTGTCCGCGTAAAGTGTTCTTACTAAGCTTATCACTTCTTCATGTATTAATTAAGTGGCATTTTAAGCTTTTTCAATTTCCGAATTTACTCTTACCTTAACCCATTGCACTTACCCTATTGCTACCCCATTACCCCGCCCTACCCTACCTTACCCCGACCCCACCCCACCCTTGACCCGACCATACCCCACCCCACCCCTTACCCTACCCCTTTACCCCTACCACCTTCCCCTACCTTTACTCGACCCCACCCCTACCCCCGCTTCTTTACCCCGACCCTACCCCTTTACCCCCTACCCCATGCCCCTACCTCAACCCACCCTACCCCTTACCCCCACCCCAACCTACCTCCCCAACCCCCTTACCCCTACACTCTCACCCCCTACCCCTTTACCCTCCACCACCTGCCCTACCCCACCCCCACCCTCACTCCTACCCCTTTACACCCTACCACTTTCCCCTACCTTGACCCCCACCCCTACCCCTACCCTACCCCTACCCTACCCCCTCCCTACCCCCTGCCCCTACCTCGACCCACCCATCCACACCCCTACCCCTACCCCTATTTGTACCCCTTACCTCGACCCTACCCTTTTACCCCTACCACCTGCCCCTACATCGACCCCACCCCTGACCACGACCCCAACCCCGACCCTCTGACCCCACCCCCACCCTTGACCCGACCATACTCCTTATCCTTATCCCTTTACCCCATATCACCTGCCCCCACCTCGATCCAACCCTTACGAGTAGGGTGGGGGTTGGTATGGGTGGGAGTATGGGTGGAGGGTAAGGTCGTGGTAAGGGTAGGGGTAGGAAAGGGGTGGGGGTACAGGGCGGAGTAGGGGTTAAGGGTGTGGGTAAGCGACTAAGCGTACGAGGTGAGCCCACATATTATATTATATACTTGTGTTCATGAATGTTTGTGTGTGTATATATCTATAGGGTTATTTTGGTCATTTTAATGTTAAACGGTGTTTTAAATCCTTTGAAGAAACATGAGCTTACAACACTGCTTATTTTATGCGCCGCTTATTAACACGAGTCTTAATAAGCACCGTTTACTAACTCGTGAAGTAAACGTGACCTAGGTGAGAGAGCTGAGGTGCACTTTTTCGCAATGTCCCTTAAAACTTTGCCATTTTTCCTTTTTGGGACGTCCCAAAAAACTTTGTCATTTTCCCTTTTAATCAATTATTTTGTGGTTTCTGTTATTTCTCTCTCTTTTGCACAAATCTAAACCACACAGTTTTTACTTTATTATTCTCTGTGCCGATCAACTTTGGCAAAGTTTTAAGGGACGGAGGTAGCACAATAAATATACACAGTATATTGAAGTAAGGTTCGTATCCACATGAAAAGGAATATTTATCTTTTTTTATGTAACTAGTAACAAGGGGGGAAGGGATTTTATGATTGTTGATAAACTTAAATGTATTTAAACACTAATATGAACGATTTATGTGGTTTACTTTAACAAGATGAAGGTTTGGTTTTGCTTTTATCCACTTAATGAAATGTTCGACGATCCCGATTATATCTTTAACTATCTTCCTCTCGAATACTCAATCGAGGAGTATATCCAGTTCATCGAGGGTAGTTATTAATAACGAGACGCGTTCATTGATAAAACTTACTACCGAGTTAATATAGAACACGCCAAGTATATCAACCTGATAGTAGCAATAAAATCAAGATAAAAATGATTGAGATTGATAAGCTCAACACAAGCGGTTTATTGGTTTAATCAACATAATTAATTCCTCTTAGATTATTAACCATGAGACGCATGCATTAATAATCCAAGTTTACTACCGTGAATGAACCGAATTAATAACAAGCGTATTAATCGATTGATTCTAGTAATAATTAATATAATAAACAAAACTAGTTGATCCTTTAAGTAATGCTCAAAATATTAATATGAGATATGAATAGGAAATAATTAATATTCAAGGAAAAAGATTATAGAAAATAACTCACAACTTACAAATTCATTAGGTTTCAAATAGGGGTGGGCAAATATACCGGAAAATTGATATACCGCACTTACCGTACCGAAAAATACCGGAAAATACCGGAAAATACCGGAATATTGGTATACCGTCATTTTCGGTACGGTATGATACCGTACCGATATATTTCGGTACGGTAACGGTAAATATTTTCAAATACCGCGGTATACCGTTATAATACCGTACCAACTCCATACTCCACAATTATTTTATATTTTTTAAAATATTGTTGAAGTCCACTAAAATTTTCAAGCCCAATATTAATACTCAAGTTGAAAAGAAATATCCAAAATACAAAAATTAAGGCCCACTTTTCTAAACCCAAAGCCCACTTTTGAATCAAATCGGTAAAAAGATTTAAAAATCGGATCGTAAAATCGAATCGTAAATCATAAGATTCTATAAAAGATATAAAATAGGAATATATGTTTAAAATATTAGATAATAATAGTCACGATATATCATTATTATGTGGAATAATGTTATTTTTCTAGTCCTCCAATTTTATATTATTAAAAGCTCATAATAATAAGATAATGGAGCAAAAAAAGTGGATAACAAAAGTGGAAAGAATATGGACTACGGAGTAGATGAAATGGTATAGGTGCATAGCTGAGCGCAAATTATACCGTGGGATCGGCCCACCGTGCGCATGGTGTGCCGATCCCAAAACGGTACCGTTCTTCTCTTAAAAATTGCAAATTCTCTTGCGCCACTCAATAGAGAGTGTTGTCGGTTCAGTCTACCGGAGTCCTGCAGAGACTTGGCTCTGATCTTCGATCTTGTGTTCCAATAAGTATGCTGGATTGCTGGTTTATTAATTTGAAATCAAATTGGATGAGTCTGCTATGCGCATCTTATCTACGTTAAAAGAGTTGGTTTTCGCCCTGCTCTTCTCTTTATATGCCTGCGTGAAGAAGCTTGAAACGGTTTTGAAAATCATATTCATCACAGAGTCCCCATCTTGACCATGATTTTTCCATCTTCGTCAGCTGCAAGATCCAGATCTGAACTCCGTTTGATTCTCCATGTGCGCAGATGGCATTGACTGGTTTGAACGAGAGGTTTTCCCCCGATAGCAGACATGACTCTATTAAGCACTTAGGTGTTATAGATGACAAATATAATAGCTTGTCCATCTCCGGCCATGCTTGTAGCCTTGCCAACGAGTTTGCCGTTAGGTAGATTGAAGCACTGGTGTTATATTTGGAGTATATGGACTAAATGAGAACTTACATTTTTATTGGTGTTAAGTTACATTTCAATATGCCTTAGGTTACATTCCTTTAACCCAATTTACATGACAATCTATGCCAAGTTACACTTAAATTCATGTGATTTACATTTTGATCTACCTCAACAAATTACATTACGATTAACGTGATTTACATCTAAGTTACTTGAACTTACATCTTAATATACACGATTTACATTTCGTATATGACAGACAAGAGAATAATTATTGGAAGGAGTTAAGTTACATTCCAGTGCATGAGTTACATTTACCAATAACTGAACTTACATTGCGTAGAACCGTGAGTTACATATCAATACACATGATTTACATCACATAAAAATATTGAGACAAAAACTTTTATATTAACGGGAGTACAATGCTCACCGTGGGATGCTCCCACGGTATACCAACTGATAGCTGAGCATCTTTAAATATTTCTAGTGGGTTCCAATCCGAGGATGGTGGTTTAGATTTCAAAGATTTTATTTTTCTTTATTCCCAGTTCCCACACCAGATAGGGAAGGCAGCTACTGCTCTGAGTACCATTATTAATGCTCGCCTTCTATCATACTAAACCCACAGCAACTCTTCCGCGTTTGAAGACAAGGCTGGGCCTTGCCCCTTCGCCTTCCGTTGGGCCTTTCCCTTCGCCTTCCGCTGGCCCTCATTAAGTTGGGCTGTGTCGATAGTTTAAATCGTAAAGTCGTAGTTAAATTGCGATTTTAAGCGAATTGGTATGATTTATATACGATTTTATCCGATTTTTTAAAAATTTGATTTTATATTCGATTTGAATCGTAAAATCGTACGATTTTACGATCCAAATCACGATTTTAACAACCATGTTTTGAAGTATCTCATTCGTTATGGTACGGTAATACCGAAAATTTCGGTATACCGATTCTTCGGTATGGTAAGGTATGAGCCTTTTGTAAAACCGATATTTTGATATACCGAAACATGGTATACCGAAAGTCCTGGTTCGGTATCAGTATAAAAATTTTCCATACCGGATTTTCGGTACGGTATACGGTATAGGGCGAAATTTTCGGTATACCATACCGAACCAGCCCTAGCCTCAAAGTAGCAAAACCAAGATGGAAGAGTTTAGCTCCTCATTTGGAGACTAAACATGATGAAAATATAAAGAAAGAACTATTCTAGACTGAGCTTAGAAGTATATGTGAACTCGTGATCTAATTGTGAAGGGAAAAGGGTCTATTTATAGGATTTTGGGAATGCAGCTCGGGAAACCGATCGAGTATATACACGGTACCCGACCGGGTATGTGTAAAACATCAGATTCGAGGTATACTCGATCGAATTCGGGGTTAAAATCGAAGGAATACCCGATCGGGTGTGTCTGTGTACCCGATCGGGTATAGACACTCGATCGTGGTCAAAATCTTCCCTGCATGTTCCTTTGTCTTCGGATTCGATCCGATTTGAAATTTCAACAAGATACCCGATCGGGTATAGGTCATACCCGACCGAATATAGACCAAAAATCAGGATCTTTATTTTGTCTTGTGATTTTGCACCTTCCATCAACTTTTGGGGTTCACCAACTGTCCTTTGAGTGATCATAGACCTGTTTTAGCTCTGAATAAACCTAATCTAAACAATTTACAAGTATTTAACAAACTAAACTATTACACCAAAAGTGTGTAATTTCCCAGGTAAAAATCAATCAAAGCTAATTAAAAATACAAACATAAACATGGAAATTACAAACGTATCAACTCCCCCACAC